TCTTTTTCTTTTTTTTTTTTTTTTTTCTTTTCTTCGCTATTGCTACCCGAACAGATACTAGGGAGGAAGGATATTCGTGGACCGAGTACCGCTCGGCCGAAGTGTTCGATTCGTGACGCGATGGAATAAACAAAGTTTCAACGTTTCGCATATCAATCGAGGCCTTGTTCCGCCGAGGATATCCCTTTCGGGGATGACTCGATTCGAACGTTTTTTTTCGAACGTGATGTCGCGTACGTCTACGTGATGTCTCGTGATTTTAATTGGTATACGTATGAACAACCGTTTGAATAATTTTTTAAAGTTTAACGAACGAGTTGCAGAGACTCGTGAGTCGTTGTTGCACACACGCATATAGAGACATAGAGACATACACACACACACTTGTCCCAGTAACGCGAGAAAGTTGGCGGATAGGCATCTTTTCGACTCATCAACGCGGCACACTTAAAAACGGTACGCGTATTTTGTTTACCGTTTCGAGAGAAGAACGGGCAAGCTTTTCGACACGAAGAGGAATGGAAGTGGCGGAGTGGAAGTCGAAACGGTGTCAAACAAGCGTGGAGAGAAAACGTTTCGGGCATCGAACTTACGCGATGGAATTCGCGAACGATATATTTCTCACCTCACGATTTTCGTTTCGACGACTTTCGTTTCGTTCCAATTTCTCTTCAACATCTTCTACGACCATCTATCCCTTTTTTACATTATATTTTTCCAACGTCAACAGAGACGTTGCTCTCCTGGGATTTTCCAGACGCCGTGGGCAGATCGACCAATCCCCAATCGCAATGCCTCTGCCAAACCTCCAATTGCTTGTGCTGCATCGATCTGAATCTGACCGCGACCTTCGACCTGGGTGGACCGGCGTGCATCAACGTCAGGCAAAAGGAGCAGAACGTCTCGTTGAACCTAAGCTACGGCGACAATCCCGTGCACAACGCCACGATTAAGATCGGTGAGACAGATTTTTTTCCAAAGTACGTCTAATCGTTTGCATTAAACCTTACGTTAAACGTTTAATTCCACGTGGATACAGTGGACGCGGCCAACAGATCGACTTGCATGAACCTTCTCTCGGACTTGGCGCAGATATGCGCGAAATTTACGTGGATCAAGCAGGCGGAAGCGGGTCACGACGGTTGTTTGGTGATCGAGCCAGCTCTGTTGGGAACACCGCAGGCCACTTACCAGATGGGATGCTTCAATTTCAATCAGGTGGTGCGCCAAATCGAGCCACCTCCGTGAGTACGATCCACGAAAAGTTGTGTTTATCATGATGTCACGTCTCGATCATTAATCTATTCACCCTCGATTCCTCTTGGTCGTGCACCACGTATATTATTCCCGCAGCGCCATCGAGACGACGGAAGGGAGCGAGAGCGCGGAGGAGGAGGAAGACTCGTTGAACACGGAGGAATTCATAGCGGCTGTGTCGGCGAGCGCTGAGCAAGGCATAGCGCTGTTCTCCCAATGGCTGGGCCTCAATCTGAACCCGAAATTGAACGCGACGAGCGGGAAGAACAGCGGGCAACAGGAGGCGAACGGGCAACGTTCCATCCCGTCCACCACTTCGAGGTCCGCCCGAGCTCGGTGGGATCAGGAGGAGAAGAACGACGAGCGGTTCAAGCAATTGTTAAGCGCTCAGGATAACGTGTTGAGGGGTTCGGCGACGATCGGCCAATCGAGCGGGGCCGAAACGACGTTCGTTTATTCGAGACCCCCCGGCTTGTACTCGTCGGATAAGAGTTCGGACGAGAGAAGGGTCGATCGAATGAAAATCGAGCCCCAACACCTGGCCGTGGTGCCGAAAGAGTCGAGGAGAGGTGGAAGGGCGTACAATATTCATCAGCACGTAAACGAGATATAAACTCGGTCGGTTCGTTTTCGATTTTCGGCTCGATCGATCGATCGATCCAGGGGGGGATTAATTAGAAAGTAGATGTATACATAGGAATTATCTCACATAATAGATCGTATTCTTACGGCGAGTTAAGGCAGAATTATTATCGTCCCCTATTTATTTTTCTTCGTGTTTTTTACTTTTCATTCTGCTTCTACTTAGTTCTAAATTCGACTAATCGACGGACATCGAGGAACGACTGTGTCTATATCTTAATCGGTGTTGGACATCGTTCGTTCTTTTCGAGGATGTTGATCCAATTTGATCAACTCCGTTTGAATGATCTCTCGTAATTGTGATTGCTTCTTCTTCTTCTTCTTCTTCTTTTTCTTCTTCTTCTTCTCTCTCTCTCTTTTTGTAAAATTTATTTTACATTATTATTATTATTGGTAATAATCGATATTCGAGATACACGAGAGGAATAAATGGAATAAATCTAAATAAATGGAACAAACTTGTATCCTTCGTGGCGAATAGACGGGTATATTTAGGGTATATTCTTTTGAAGAGAATGCAATTATTTTCACGGAAAACACACGTTTCCATTATGCGATAATTGTTTATTTGTTTTTCGATCCCGTATAGCAAGTAGAAAATACAGTAATAATCTTCATGTAATTTAAATCCATACGATAACATCGAATTACACATTTATGATGAAACACGTATCATCGAGCGATAAGCGATTTATTTCTTTTCTTCTTCTTCTTCTTCTTCTTCGTAAAAAAAAAAAAAAATACAACACATATAATACGCGTATAACACAAAGTATATAAATAAATATTCGTGTTACATAATTGATTGATTGATCATAGAAAAATCTTTGCAAAATATCGAACAGAATGAATTCGAACGATCGATACAATCTTTCAATGTAGAATATAGATAAGAGAATCGCTCGCGGGAATTAAGCGTGGTTCGATCGTTGATATAACAAATAACATAATAGAAATTATCAATTACTGATAAATATTTCTTTTTTTTAATAATCGTTAAATTTTTTTAATTATATCTTTTGTAATATCGTTGACACGGAGATGGTCAATAAAACTAAAGAGAAACAGTTCGATATATTCGTTCATCCTGTTCCCACGTTTTCTCCGATCGATCTCGATAGATTTTCGATAGATTAACGAATAAACGCGTGATTCGTCGGAAAGGCGAGGAAGAAAATTTGAAAATTACCAACGATACTTGTTTGTGATATTTACA